GAAAAAAAAAAGATGAGATTCTGCAAGCATACTAATTTAATCCCAAACCCATCATAAAACATGGAGCTACTTAGTGCCGTGGCTAACAGGCAAGTAGGAATGCAACCTGGCCCCTTTGTTACCTGCTTTCTAACTGCCCCAAAAGAAATACCTGTAGTTATTTGCTTTTACATCAGACTGGAGAAGAGGAGCAAGAACGTCAGCAAGGGTGCAGCACAGACAGTCCAACCTCTGCGTTCCCACTCAGGTAACCCTGTCCTGTTGGCTCCCCGGCAGCAATTAAAAACTCAGTATGTCATCCTCCTTGCTGATTAGGATGCAATTGTCACAAAAAAGGAAGATAGGTAGATAAATCAGAGGAATAAAACCAAATCAAGTCCAGATTTCAAGACCACAGTGGCACTGATGGAGGTACCTGCAAATCAGGAGGAACAACGGGATTATCTTCAAGCTGGGAGCACACAAAATCACCTCTCAGGAATGAAGAGCAGGAGGAGATATGTTATAAGAGCATTTTGACAATAGCTCTGCATTGCTTTCAGCCACAATTCATATTGTTTTCTGGAATCGGGTCTCGTTAAATGCCAAGGACTGACACGCCTGGAGTGCCCACACGGGGAGCAGGAGCTCGTTTGTTAATTGTGGCTACATCGAGCTAGACAGCATTAGCAGAGGATGTGAACGGGGCACGGGGAGAGATCTTCTGAAGAGCAGTTGGAAAGGAGAAAAAAAATAAATTGGTTTTATAGGTGACAGTAAACAAGAAGAGTGTTTACATCAGTGTTTAGGAAGGGAAGGACAGAGGTTTATGCAGAAATGAGCAAACTCGCTGTCTGCTGCCACAAACCCATTTATCTTCCAAGGTGTTTCATCCTACTCGCATTAATATAAATATTTCAAAAGCCTCCAGGCTGCTGTCCCACACTCTGCTTCAGCTTATTTACCCACAGTTACTGGTTTCAACAAAGCTCAATAACAAAACATCCAAATTTTTCCACTACATAGCTAAACTCCTCCTGGCAGCCTCAGACTCACAGGAGAGCCCCTGGGGGCAGATCTCTCCCTGAACCCCAGATCCGGGATGGGGGGAAACATCGGTCAGCTCTCTGCTGGGAGTCCAGCACTCCCACAGCAACTCCGCACTGCACGTTCGACCCAGGAGCTAAGCCAAAAGCTGTATGAGACACCTGGAAGATGAAACCCCCTCTCGCCAGTATGCGGTGACAAGACATGCAGCATAAGGCTTCTTGTAATACAGCCCAGGGAGGGCAAGGAAGCAGCAACATGCACTAATTGCAGTCTGGTAACGAAGTTACGGACACAAACCTCCTCCCACAGCCCCAGCAGGTTCCAACACACCCCCCACCACACAGACATAGTAATGACATGCAAGAAAGACCTGGAGGAAGACCCAAAGCACCCCATGGCTAGTACCTGAACACCACCTAACACACAGCAGTACTCTCGGAAACAGAGGTGTACACCTGTAATTATTTTTTCAGATCATATTAAAAAAAACCCCAAACAACCAGCCGACAGGATAATGCAAAATAATTGATTTTATTTAAAATAAAAAGCAAAACCACAATCATCCAAACAAGACAATTAAGAGTATCCCAGCTCTGCTGGATGGGGTGATAAAAGCAACTAAGGGCAGTGACAGGGCTTGGAGCTGACAGCGCAACTGTCAAATGAATCAGTTAAGCTCTTTCCTTCCCCCCCTTTGCAAGGGGGATGCCAAAACCTTCCCATTACAATTAGCCCACACAGGCATTTCAGATCTGATTCAGTCCACAGTCTGGCTTCCTGCCCCACGATGGCTGGGGATTCAGGGAGAAGGGTCTAAGTTAATTATGAAAGAGGTTGCTGTCTTTCTTCTAAGCATTTGGAGAGGCTTTGCGTAACTGAGAAGACAAACTGGAGCCCACGTACCCGAGCTGGAGAAAGGTATGCCAGTGCTTCCTCGGCATCACCTGCTCCCACAGCACTTGTGCAGAGAACAGGTGCCGAGATCGGCGCGCCTGTTGGTCACATCTACGGTTCTGACAGGGTATTTACTCGTTTATTCCTGAACTGTCACAGCAGACAAGCCTGTATCAGTTACCAGACTGGAGAGCACGGCCAGAGCTCACAAATCCCTTTACCTTTCGCCAGAGCAGGCAGGACAATGACAGCGGTACACACGGTGCGACTGGGAAGCCCAGAGTCCAAACCCAGCCCGTGGGTCCCTCAGCCTGTCCCTGGGGAACAGGGCAGCCCACAAAGCACCGGGCCGAGGCAGAGCAGCACTCGAGGAAGCGAGGGGCCCACCAGGTCTGGGTGCTGGACCCAGCAGCCTGCTACATCCAGGGGCTCTACAGTACACAACAGCAGTAGGGTGGGAACAAGGGACACGGATGCCCCAGAAGCACAAGCCTGGGGAGGCGGAAGCGCAAAACCCACTCTCCTCAGTCAGCCTCCCACAAGCACGCAGCTAGGCATGAGGGGGGGCACAGTTTTTAACTTTATTCCCCGTTCACCCAGCCTGGCACGAGGGTCTGGGAAGCACCAGCTCCCCTCCTTCCTGTAAGGCCAGTGAAGCTCACTCCCTGATGAGAGATAATTTATTCTAGTCCTATTTAAAAAAAAAAATCCCGAGCTAGCAGGACCTCCTGTTTAGAGCAGGCCATGAAATGCCAACAGTTAAACTCTGGTGAAAACAAAAAGCCTTGTTCTGCTACAATTTATGTACCACACAGCAATTCTGGAAGGGCCACCACAGAACACCACATGGCCAAGAGAGCTGAACAACATCCCCAATGTTTTCGGCTACGAAAAGCTAACAACAGGTTAGGAAGTCTCAGGTTGCTTAGGATGTCTGGAACACTTTCTGTGGGAGGACGACTTCAAAGCATCTTACACAGTAATTACATTTCAGCCTCACAACACCCCTGTGAGGTAGGTATTTTCCTCATCTACTGAAACAAAGACAGAAGCTCACCGATTTGGCTGAGGCAAGAGCCTGTAAGCGGAAGAACCGGAGATCCCAGGAGTCCAGATTCCCAGGGAGCCTAAACAGATGCACCTTTGTTTCATATTGGAAAGTGCCTCGTGGAGAAGTCAGTATAGCGTTGCTGGTATTGCGATGCCTGCAGTCCATTTCAAACACGCTGCTTTGCCAGGGATGTCAAACGAACACAGGCTTCAATCTTGTTTTATTTCACACCATGGAAGAATTCATAGGCACAGAAAAACACTCTGGATCTTTCCCACTGTGCTTCTGGTGATAAAGGTGTAGCCTTCCTGGCACAGCGATCAGGTTTTCATGCACATGTAAGATTTTTAAGACTGCAAAAGTGAACCGTGCATGCCAAATGCAATTGCAAGCTACAGCATAAGCCATCTTCCTGTACGTACTAACCGTCAAGCCACCAAAGAGGGCAGCGGACAGTACTCTGAGGGCTCCTCTCACAGTGACAGAGCTGAGGCTTCACCTCTCCAGGCCCCCACATTCTTCTAAAAGGCAGCAGCTGCAGCCTGCTCTGTCAGAGAAGACATACAGATTGTGCAGGCTCCCAGGCTGTTCAACCGAGCAGGAAAAAAGGCAACCTTGGCCAGAAATGCCAGGAGTTTGAGGTTTTCTTAAAATGAAGTAATATTGTGGAAGAATCTGCAGCAGTCTAAAGAGCAAGCGTGCTCATTTATGCCTGGCTATCACAGGAAATTCAGGAGTCTGAACAGCTAAGGAGTGTACCAAAAAAACCTTCCCCTCTCCACTTTTTTCACCACCACGTTGCTCCTATACAAAGTGACTGGCACGGAAGATTTGGTAACAGAGATCCTGACAAACGGACTTAGGATTCCCTTGTACAACAGGATATGGCCCGGTCTCCAAGAAGGGAGAGAGCATTTAAATAGGAAGAGACAAGGTTTAAAAAAAGATCAGAAAACCCAGACAAGTAATGTTCTGGGTTCCATCAAACCCAATGCGTGTAAGAAAGTCACAGTTAAGGCTGCCAATCTGCTTTTTAATTCTGCTACCAGTGCCTGGGCATTATTGCATGTTTATTACACGCACACCACCTCCGCTTTGGAGTTTCCTCTCCCAAAGAAGAACGGCTGAAGTGAGACCTAATTCCCACCTCCTAGGTCTGAGGAGAGCAGCCAAGGAAGCACCCCAACCCAGCTAGCTTCTGGTTGCGCTGTTCAGGTAGAGAAGGACATTTCCTTGCAGCACACCTTCAGCCAGCCAGACCTCTTTGCTACCAGCACAAGCCCCTGCTAAAAAATACCCAGCAGCTCCAACAGATCCCTTGGGGATGAGAGCTTTACCTGGCGTAATACAAATGCATCTACGCAGACTTAAGCAACACATTGCATTTAAAAAAAAAAATAAAAAAGCATAAAACAACAATATGTCCCCCTCCCAGTCCTTTAAAATTGGCACCGCAAGTTCTGGAAGTGTCTGAGCCCGTAATCTCAAAGAAAAGCCATTTAGGTATGTGAACTGCACTGGCCTGAACAAGCCTACGGCCTCTAACTGCTTGGTATTTAAAGCCCAGCAACTATTGTTATCCTATGAGAGTCAGACTTTGTCAGTTGTTGCCTAGTGCTAAAGATCACGCCTGCACCTAAAGGATTGTAATTACTGGCAAACGCTGACTTTTCCCCCCCCAGTTTTTGCTGTGCAAGAAAATCCAGGATTCCTGCTCCATCGAGCTTCCTATTGCAAGGTGCTAGTGCATCTTTGCTACCAGTCATCGTAACAGACACAGAGCAAAAGTAAATGGACTGTTGCTGGTTAAGGTGTTGCACCTTAGATGTACACGTGTAGATTAAGACCACAAAAGATGCTTCAGGTTGGTGGTCACCTCTGCTGAATTTGCTTCAGGGTTTGGAGCATTCACACCACCTTCCCTTCCTGAAATTCTGATGCGAGATCCGCCGGACGTTCAGAGAGGCCAAAAGGGCTGGTGTTCCTTTCCTCAAGTGTACAGGACAACATGTAAACATATGACAGTGTCAAAGCAAGGCAGGTTTTTAGATTTACCTGCTGGTTTTAAAAAGAGTTCTTTAAAAACTGACCATCGTCTTCCTTGCCAGTTACGTGAACCATTAAATACTTGGCATGTCCTTACCCAAAGCTGGGTGATTAGTGCACTCACTTGGGGCGCAGAGGGGACAAAGCATTGCACAATAATGTAGAGAGTCAGGGCATTCCCCTAGAAGTTATTAAGGAGCCAACCTTTGACAGCACATAATGAAGATGGATGTCTGGATCGAGGAAGAGTGACAAAAAACTTAAGGACTGTAAGAAATAGAAGCAGAAGGGGGTAGGACAGAGCTGGCTGGCTGCTAACGGAGCTTCGATCGGCAGCTGCCTCTAGGTGGGTGTTGTAATCTCTCAGGGGTAGCTGCGGCCTCCGCAAGATTCCCTAATCCTGTCAAAAAAAGTACAACTGCCTGTCAACAACCATAGAATTTCCCCTCGTATCAGGACAAAAGATCACAGCATGCAGGTTAATTGTATGCTTGTTCTTCCTACAGAATTGTACAAGCTAGATAAGATTTTATGTTTGGAACTGTTTCTATCAACTTATCCATCACGCAGTTGGAACAGAAAGCCCACCCATCCTCACAGAGTGAAACAATCAACATACAGGAGGAAGAAGAGCGAAACCTGGAAAGCAAATGCTCTAGGCAACTTGCTAATTTTTAAAATTTAAGGTATTCAATTCAAAGTTTGAAGTGCAAACAACTTAAAAATGCACGGTATTTTCAGAAGAACAGATCTGAACATGTGCTCTGCATTTTTACGTGGGTTTTTTTTTTTTCTTTTGGTTTTTGGGGTTTTTTTTTATTTTAAAAACAGGGTCTGCATTAAGGTTTGTTATCTCCTGCTGCTCATTCCCTGTCTGAAGTCACAACCGGCTGCTGAAATGGGATTTGACAATGTCATAACAAACAAATTGTTAAAACCCCCCACAGCAGGTCACTACAGCACTTGTATCCATGCCAAACCCGGAGCATCCAACAGCTCGGGAACTACACAGCACCCTAATACAGGCAGGCAGCTAATACAGCAGCACTGGTGAACCAAACTGGAAGGAGCTTGCTTAAGAATTCTGGCAAGCCTCTGCTGTATGAGAAAAACACTTCATTTAGCAAAGAATTTCTAAGTTCCTCCCTGCAGCGTACTCACAGATTTCCCAGTGTTTCACTGTTTTTAACCTGGCAAGTCCAGAGAACTTCCTTCCTTGACAACTTTACCCTAAGCAATATCTATTCTTGGTCTGCAATATTAATGTTCCCTCCCTCCAGACTGAGTAGAAACTTGCCTTTTTTTAAAAAAAATCAGTAAACACAGACATTTAGGATGAATTTTGCTTTTAACAGATAAGACAGTGGGCCAAATCAAAGTAATCCAGGCAACAATAAGAGAAACATACAACTACTTTAAGGTTTTCCATTTGCACAACAAGGCATCGAAACCTGAGCCTTGCCTGACCGTTCCTCATCTTTAACTGTTTATTATTCATTTGTGCTCTCTGAAGAGCACAGTTAAAATATCCAACCTCTCCCATTGGAAAAAATAAACCAAAGTACTTTCTCTCTTAATAGAGAGACAACTAGGAAAAGTAATAAAACTGTTTATTAAAATACAGTAAAAACCCTAATTTAAAAAAATATCGAGAATCTTAGTTTTCAGTTTGGAGCAATTAAAATAATTCATGGAGGGAAGACAGGAAGATACCACCACTGGCCAACTGCTTTACATTCTATAAGGGACCCCTTGCTCTCCATCCCTGATGAATCGCCCTATATTAACTCTGCCAGCTCTCCCTTGTATTGTCTTTTGCTTGTTTAAAACCCAACAGTTGCCATTGGGTCACCTGGAGGAGCTGCGTTCTTTGCTCACACAGTCGTCCTGGGAAGTTGTATCACCGTTACCCATCATACTGCATGTTCTCCTCTTTTTCCTCCGGTGCATCATCCCCTCTGTCTCAGAGCCAGAGTCACACTGAAGTATGAAGAGATGAGAACAGAATTCAGACAAACCTAGTAAACTGTGCAGTGGAATTCACTGTAAGAGCTACCTCAGCAATACTGAATAATCACTATTCAAAGAAAATGCTATTTTAGATGAGACACGTGAAATAAATTTTAAATCGTTTAAAAAATACGAACAGGTATGTTCTTAGATTCTGTCACTGACTAAAGCTGGCTCGGGGCACTTAGGTGCCTAGAAAAGTCCCCTGTCATAACTGACAGTCTGTGTTTTGGATCTTGTTCCCCCTCCCCATTTTTAAAACATTCATTTTGCAGCCAGTTTACACAAGCACGGCTGAGCTAAATGAGCGACATATATACATATAATATAAACATATATCAAACAAACAAAATTCATTTAGCAACACAAACAGAGGCTTCAGCAAACAGAACCAGTTAAGACCACAAGCTCCTCCACCACGTGGATTTATTTAGTTGCTTTCTATTAGTTTCTTCCATAAGACACGAATATTAGGATGAGGACACATGATCAGGTATGGAAAAAACAATACAATTGCAGGATACGGATCACCTACTGTAGTAAAAAGCATTACCTCTGAATCAGAGTCTGAGGAGCTGGAACTTGAGGAACTGGAAGAATCGCTAGAACTATCGGAAGCAATACCAGTAGATTCCTGCAGGTCAACTGAATCGGCCAAAGCTGCCAAGTCAGGGTGTTCCTGCTTTAGGATCCTAAATACAGTTGAAATTTCAAGGTCAGCCTTTGAACAGTAAGGCTGCATGTAACAGGGTATTTGGGGGTTTTGTTTTAAATAGAGAATACAAAAAGAAAGCTACTAAATCTCTTACCTGTACCATTTCCGTGACAATTTGGGTCTCCCTCTTACTGTCTTGTGCCACACCACGGGGAAGTTGGTACAGCTGGCAAAGTTTTGCGTGATGGCAATAGTTGTGTCAAGATTGAGAACCACATGCCACCAGCCACCTATAAATACACCATCAATGATCGTTTCTGGCTACGCTGCACAAAGCAAATTCAAGAACAGCCATGTACACTTTTCCCATAGCATGGGGGAAATTGGACCTTATCTCCCAAACCCAGGTGAGTTTGCCACCACGTGGTCTTTCCTCAGTCTTGTTTCATCATTTGCTCCAGTGCTTTACAGATTCTTGTTACAGAAGGCTGCTCAATGCTCTGACCAAATTATCCAGCTCATAAAGAGCACTGAAGATCTGACCTGACAGCAATACACTGGCTACTGACAGCTTATTTAATAGCAAGAGCCATTGTAACCCAGACCACACAGAGACCCTCTCTGTTAAGCTGGACAGCATTTTCCATGCTGATTTTGTAAGGTTCTTCTGACTACAGACTAACCTTTCATTTAAAAATAGATGCAAAATCGTTTCCCCACACAGGATAAAAATAGACAGTGGTATTCTTACAACCCACTTACAATCTCATAAAAAGACTAAGGCAACAGTTCCATTGAACTGTTGTTCAATGGAACCTGACAGTTACAAAATCTTAACAGAAGGTACACTGAGGAGTTACTAATAAATGCCAAGATAATCGCAAGGCACTCTTCAAACATGAAGTCAGCTGTATGTTAGAGACAAGCAACATGGATAGAAACTACGGGTGATGCTGCACAAAAACAATGCAAGATTTAGAAGCTAGAATTTGGCACTGAACTCACCCACTTTATCCACTAGCCACCTCACCTCCCAGCTATCATGGACACACAATGTGCTGCCACGTGACGAGAATGGCATCTTTACCAGATCATTCTTCGGCTTTTGATTTCAAATGCAAGATGAAGCATAACCACAGACAGGTGGGTGGAAAGCATCAGTGCCTTTAAGTAGTTCTTCTCCCAGAGCTAAGAAAAATTCCTATGCAGTCAGACTACCCAGGCTGCAAAATTCAGTCAAGAACTTGCTACAGTGTCTACCAACTCAAACATTTTTGTCTAAGAAGTTACTAGTACTCAAATGCCTCTATTATTTTGTGCCTTGATAGTTTCCTATTACTGTAATTTAATTCAGGATCACATTTCTGTGATGCTGCAACTGAGGTCCCATTTATTTTGACATCTGTACCACATGCAATCCTATGCTACAGGCCATATATGTTTCAGGACATTCAGAAAATAACTGAACGGTCTCAAAGAGAGCCTTGCAATATATAGCCCTTTTGAAACAGAGTAGTTTCTTTTGTAAGAGATGAGCCATATAAGCAAGCTGAAATATCCTCTTTCTACTGTACTACATAGGTTAAAAATATACTTTTCTCTCCCAGAGTTCCTCACTGGAGAGATTCGTACATACCTGGCACAAAGACTGTCTCGCCTGGTTTCTGTAAGATTTCCAGGGGTTTGAATTCAGGGGGCCAGGTGGGGAGCTGCGTCCTAGGATAGATGACATTGAACCAAGTGATAGCCTCGTCCTGCTGGTTCCCTCCCTCTTCTCGCGTCACTTTGATCAGCTCTCTGGGTGTGCTGGTGGGGAACAGGCACCAGCGCTTATGTCCCTGGACTAAGGCATTCCACGCACTAGTTCCCAAGGGATCGATGTGAATTCCTGTTCCAGAACGAGGTGGGCCCATCACAAACCATCTGCATGGGGGAAAAAATCCTTTAGTCATAAAGTGAGTAGCTAAGTTCTCTTTTCTTCACATCAGACAGAAAATTACAGCTCTTAATTGCACATATGGTTAGAAATCAAGGTAGTTACAGTTCCTTAATTTATCTTCTTGAGACCGTTAGGTTTACACTACAGCAAAGATACTATATGGGTTTAACCTAAAAATCAACGTGAATTGGGACAGGAACGATTCTGGAACAAGAAAGTGAAGACAGCTTTTTAAAACAAAATATAGCTATGGAATATAATCCATAAAATATATACTTATTTCAAGGTTTCTGAATGCCATTAAGTCATAACAGCCTGCATTAGAATTTTTACTATGCAGGAGGATTCTCCTAATCCTATGTTTTTCTAAAATTCACTACTCAAACAGATCCAGAACTGCAGAACAATGAGGAACAAACAAAAGGCAATATAAGTAAGGAACAGAGCAGAGTTATGCAACCCTGGCCTCCCTCTATGCCTTCTGTTCATTTACAACAGGCTTTTCATTCTAACATTTAACTAGCTGGAGCTTATCCTCCAGTGACCATTCAGGATTTGGTGTGTATATTTTCATTCCCCATTTGCAAGGGTTATTTCTCCCTGTGGAGAACTTTATCTGCTGTACGCATTTAACAGCAACAGCACCTTCAATTGCTCATTTTCCCTGTAACAGAACAGTAAGATCTACCATACTAGGAAAAGCAGTGTAAGTGAGGTGACTTAATACCAGGTGTCAATAGGGAAAAATGGCAATAATTGTTTAATGGGCAGCAGAGAGGGTAGAAACTAAAGCACCAACAAAACCTCTCCATCATGTGGCTGACAGGCAGGCGATACCCAGCAAGAGGGGTTCGAAGGTTCAGAAAATATTGAAAGTCAGCAAGCTCTCCATCTCCCCTTTCCAAAGCAGGTGTAAATGAAGCTGCTTGCCAAGTATCATTTGTTAGCACCAATTGTAGGACTGTATGTTTGGCTACCAAGCTGCGCTCTTCCTACTTCACAAAGGAGCCATAAAAACGTAAAAAAGCAATTGTTTGTCACTTCTATCATCAATTCAGTCTTTAGATTCATATTAGCCTTGGAAAGCTAATTAAACCAAGCAGAACAGTCAAAGGTTTTACTAAGAAGCCAGAAGAAATTAAACACATAAAGATCCGTGGTACACAAACAGATGCACCGTTCAATACCATTTTTCTGACTGTAACCTGAATCTACACACGCAGATTTAAACCCCCTTATTTAGCAACACTATCATTTACCAGCATCTTCCTCCAGGCGTTTAATTTACAATGAACGTAATCCAGTTCTCCACAAGACATCAAATTTACCGTTAAAACCTTCAAATCCTGTAGCTTCAATTTAAAAGGAAAAAGCCCCTCCAAACTAAAACAGCTGATTCAGTAAATGGCTTCCAAAAGTTACTGCCCTTATTTTGAAAAGGAACAACTCCAATAAAGATGCTCTAAACTGCACGAGTTCTTATTTAAGATCTATACACTATCACCTCTCAGTCTAGAGGTCAATCTGTACAGTTCATATCCTGATCATATGATTAGAAAGCACCGCTTCCTGCTGGATTTTCAATTATGCTCTTAAACTGCTGGATACTCTTCATCCATTCCTGTACCCAGATGAAACCCCTAACTTGAGGGGGTATCTGTGTGTTCTCTTGCATCACTCATCTCTTAAAAAAAAAAAAAAAAAAGATAACAACCTCAAACAAACCCAGATTTTCCAGAACAAAGTACAAGAATTGTGAATACCAAGATCACAAGCAAGGAGCTCAGCACGTACCCGTAGGTGGCAAGGGTGTGAGGGAAAG